CTCTCTCTCTCTCTCTCTCTCTCTCTCTCTCTCTCTCTCTCTCTCTCTCTCTCTCTCTCTCTCTCTCTCTCTCTCTCTCTCTCTCTCTCTCTCTCTCTCTCTCTCTTTCTGTCTCTCTTTCTCTTTTCGCGCAGCGAGAGATGTAGCGAGGAGGAGGCACCCACCTGTGTGTTTGTAGATAGAGTTGACTCTCTGCACGTGCCTCGTCATCACCTCGATACAGGCTTCCTCCGTGCCGTATCGCGCGAAAAACTGATGGTCCGCTTGCAAGTAGAGCATGCAGGTAGTTTTCCGGGGATCTACCGTCGCGCGCTTGTGCAGATGCCTCGCGATCCGATCTCTGCTGCTCGCGCTACGGACGGATGCGAGAAATAAGGTCGCTTTTATTGCGCGATGAAAAAAACGCCCGGCGAAACCTCGCCCGGGACGAGCTTCGCCTAACGTTCGCTCCTCCGAATTCTATTTTGACTTTGTCGATGTTCAGCGTACCGCCGACACACGCCGGCGGTACTTGCCGGTACTTCGCCACATCGACATCGCGATTTGATCCGGAAGACCCGAAAGTCAACTGACATTCCGTTTAAAACTCCGTTTCTTCCGGTTATTGTGTGTATCTCTTCTATCGAATCGATCGCGTCACAGCGAATTGCATTTTGAGAAACAAATAAAACCACGCGCTTACGCTATAAGTAAGTCTTCTTACACTGCGTTTAAATTCTCTTTTTAATTCTTAGACTTGTGTAGACTTGAATTATTCAATCCTAGAAATCCTTTTTACCCACGATTTATTCTAACTTTTTTTCACGCTTTGAAAAGTAGCATTACGTCTGATAAAATGGACTGATTTACGTACATTTAACCGAGAGAAAGATTCGGGATATTTTTTTCTACTATAAAAATGCAGGCTACTCACGCGTCCATGTACTCGACGTCATTATTCGTTTCTAACGTCGGCACCCTCACATTGTTTTCCCTCGCGTAGAGAGCAACGTGCTCGCCGAGCAAGGGCTCGTAGAATGCCTGAGAATTGTTGTACTTATATCTGGAGGAACAGACATCGCGAAGTTTAAATTTACATTTAGAGTCCGCCATATGAAGGCTGACATGAAACGCATAATATATGATAATCCCAGCCGGCGGGAGTTTCCTTTACACGTGTCTAAATTATAACACGTTTGCCAACAATATGTGCTCTTTTATCATTCTCTTCGCACGAATGTATTTTTATGAACTTTATGAAAAAAAAATATGACAGAATGTACATTTGAAAGAATAAAGCTGCTTATTACATCCTTATTTGGATTTTACTTTTAATTATAAAATGCATACCGTAGTTGTAAAACGTCTCATACAAAAAGTGTGATGATTTTAGAAAATAACTTCAAATTATACATGAATTATACATGTTTATTTTCGACAAAAGAATTAAAATTCAAGTTGCGCTCGCGAATATCATAAATCAAGACTTAGAGAGCTTTGCGAATTTCAGTCGTCAAGTTAAAAATCGATCCAATTTGATGAAAAATACAAACGGCATGAGAGAATCATGATATTCAAAATCCGTATTATATCCGTATTCCGTGTAGCAATTTATGTCGTCGCGATGACTGTCGCTTAGATTCGATTCGGGAGTATATACGAGATAGAAACCCACCTATCGAAGGAATCACCAAGAGACCCGTCTCGATGTAGCTGATGACTGGCACAGGGTAACGGATGTGGCGGGGCGGTAACGTCGGAGGTGCGATAAGCTATGCTGTGATAGGATGGCGACGTGTCTTCATTTTTATTCAGATACCTGCTCGTCGGCTCGATGTAGTACTCCTCGAATCTGGTCACGACACTACCGTCGAAGAGGCCGTCCTGCGTAACGACGCCCTGCACCACGGCGCTCTCATCCTCTGCAAAAGAGAAAGGGACACCGCGGTGCCGGTTAATAAAGAGCCAGTAATCGAATTTATCGGTAGAGAAGGGATTATCGGCGTCATATAGATTCAATCATCATATAATTGGCGACTTTTAACATTTTACCCCGCTATGAACAATGAAATATTCAAATGCTCATGAATAATAATTAACGTGCGCGTGTACAGATATATAATATTGTTCGTAAGTAATATAATTTGTATGCAATTGCATTTTGTAATTTATAATATTTATAATATTATAACTTTAAATAATAATTATTATTATTACCTTCGTGTTTCCTGCCTAAAGCTCGATCTTGCATTTAATTTATTATCAGTTTGGTGCAATTCTGGCAAAATTTGTAAATTGATAATAAATTTTCTCTTTAATTCTTAATAAATATTGTCATCGCAAGTAAAAAAAATACGTTTAAATCTCAAGAGCTTCTATTTATATTCACTTATAAAAATGTTGTATCAATTTTGTTTCGTGTTTACGAAAAACAGATCGTTCCACAAATTCGAAATACGTTTTCGCTAATAATATTTTTCCGCGTTCTCGTTAATGGCATTCTTCCGCAATCTGCGAATTATTTTAATAACGATCGCAAGAATTGAGACTGCTAAACTCGTTATTAACAGTTTCCGCAGAAATGGATTCGCGTTGAATGTAGTGGTAGGCGGTATAACCCCGCAGCTACATACCTTTTAAATCTGCGAAAATACGAGGGTGAATCGCGGCAGGAGACTCGTTCCCACGGTGCATATAAAGTTACCGTCGGATTTAATTATATTTGCAGAAGCCTTCATTCTGTGTCGCCGTGCTTTCATTATTTCTTATGAAATTTTTGCGACTTCGCCCAAGTTAGAGGATACGCGCGGTGAGAAAGGGGCCTCGGTATATGATAACTTTTCGGGTAAAATTAGAAAGGATCGCCAAGTATTTAGGATCTGGGGACGAGCTCTAACTTCGTTTCGTTTCGCTTTATCCCATGCAAATTCCATCCGGGCGGCTCGACTTCCTGGAGGAAACGACAAATTTCCACGGAAAATTTTGGAAATCGACGTTTGTCACCGCGACGATGAGCAAAAAGTTCCCAGTTTGTTTTATCGCTATTGCTAACACACGTAGCCTTGCGTGATTTATAATTAATTAAAAAAAAAAATACAAAAAAAAAATACAAAAAAAGAATAAACAAAAAAAAAATAGCACATCTTGCGCAAACGGATTAATCCGCCCGGTAAATAAATTAGAAAAATATTATTAAATAATTACATCTCTAAATAAAATTTCATAATAAAAAAAATACATCAGTCTCTTAATAACCCGTTTTATATAAAATGTTCAAATTTCTTTTAGGTTTTTGCAAATGCAAAGTTCGATCCCGCTCGATTTTACATTCTTCTCTCTACAATAGACACAGGGTAGATCAAGATATGATAATAACGGGGAAGATTGGAACATCGTCTGGAAAAAGCAGTGTGTAACTGTCGCTCAACGTGCGTATACCTCGCTTCCGGTACAATTTTGTAAGGACATTGCAGATTGAGGGACGCGGAGAAATTTGAGTGGAAGACGCCCTGGAAAATCACGACCTCCGAGAATCGAGTCTCTTGGCCCGAAGCGAAGTTTCCTCGGGTGGAGAACGTGGGTGGATTCTAGGAATTCCAATCGTCAATCATAGTCGATATTCCGGACTATCGCTAGAGAGAAGATAAATCGACTAAAGTGCTATCGCGAAGTCGGAGAAATTTACGGCCGCGTGTTACTTCCTACAAGTAATTGTTTGGATCCCCTTGGTTGCTGGCGCACAGTCGATCCGTAAATTCACCCTTCATGGTAATCGATACCCTATCGTCCCCGATAAAAGGGACAATCAGCAGAGAGGTTTATATCGCGGAGCAATTTAGCTGCTATGCGCAAAAGAAAACAATTTGCGCGTGAATAAAAATAAAATCACAATCATCGCAAGCACATTATGCAAGCGGCATAAGAAGTTAATTGTGTATCGCTTTTTTTTATTAATTTAGCATAAATAGAATTTAAAAATGTTATGTAACTTTTAATTTGAAATTATAAACATTAAATATCGATTTATTAAGGAACCAATTCAAACCAATTTTTATTCGAATAAAAGATAAATATAAAATTTAACAGGGATTTAAATATAAAGAAAAATATTAAATTCACTATAAATTTGACAATAAAGAATTACTAAAATAAGTTTAATTGAAAATATGAATATATTAAATACTAATTTGTCAGTAAATAATTCTTACATTACCTACAAATTTTACTTACAAATATTATTTCATTTATATAAAATGGCAGAATTAAACAGCGACAAGACAAAATTAATAAATATTGATGCGTTATTTATTTTTAAATATAACTTTATTTTAAGATTTATTCTCTCTTAAATTTGCAAACGCAGACGAGAACAAAAATTAATATTGAGATGTTTCTCCATTTCTTTGTAGAGATAAATTCACTTTTATATAAAGTATATATCTCTCCCGAGTTTTCTGAATTTCTTTCATTATGCTTTCCGCGATTAATTTCTATCAATCTTTCCTTAGGAAAAGCTTAATTTGTAATGACATTTTTTTTTTACAGTTTTATGATATTATCTATAATTATGTATTTCTCTATTATATCACGATATAAAACTCTCTTAAACCAAATCGCATTTTAAGATAAAAGAGTTTCGTTATAAATTTGCACCGTTACAATCTTTTCAAGAGATTAAAAGCTTTGTCATTTTTACCGAGCTGAAACCGACCTCGGGCTGGTTGAGAGAATTCATGGCTGAAATACCAGGCAGTGATTTTCAGGCATGCTGCAAAGACGATTGCTCCTTTTTCCGGACCGCAAGAACGTCGTCGATTAGAGCCGAGGAGAAGAGACAGCAGCGCGATGTCGGGATGCCTAGCGAATTCCAGATCCAGGTGGAATTCCGCGATTCGTTTTTCTAGGAAAAAACGCGGGGATTCTCCTCTACCAATCTACGGAGTTTCCGCGGCTAATTCGATCCCATTTCGCGCGATAGCTTAAGCGTGAAACGGTGATTCCCCGCGGACGAGTTGGAAAACGTAATCGATGTGCGACGGCGGCGGCGGCGGCGGCGGCGGCGTCGTCTTTTCCTCTCTCGATGAAAAGTGGACCTCCCGCGAGAGGCTCAATAGTAAACGCTTGGATGAGAAACGAAGAGGAAAAGTAAGCGCGTAGGAAACGCGGGGAGAAACTAGGCTACCGTCAGATTAAATTCGATCGACACGGTTTTAACGTGGGTCGAGGTCAGATCTTTCGTTCTATCCGTTCCCGATTACGATCTGCAAATCGGGCATCTTAAAGTGGCGAGGGCAGGCAACGTAGAACGTATATAAAGATACTTTTTTACGTTTAATTAAAAGCAGCTCGCAAACAATGTAGAACATTTGTAAAAATACTTTTTCACGTATAATTAGGAGCGTTATCGAATTTCAACAAAAGTGATATATATGAAATAATTTCTCCAACAATGGGATAATATAGATGGCATTGATAAACAAAATCTTAGGTGTCTTATAATTTTTCATTTTTCTTCATTAAATTTATATAAACATAAATTCGAAATAATTATTTAATATCGCGAACTACGTGCCGTTATTATTCAACAGACTTTTCACAGCAACTTAGAGTTATATTTTTCAATTATAATCAAATTTGAAAATCGATTCCTGTCTTCTCCCTCTTATGAAATTCTTTATTGCGAAAAATGATTTATGTAGACGCTGCAAACGCAAAGATACATAATCGATACAATATTTTATTGAATATCTCGAAATGTATTTGTTAATCGAATGTAAAGGCGAAATTTGTCATTATTTGTTTTTTCAAGAGTCGCGACAATAATTGCAATGTTGCTCTGTTTACTTCGTTATTAAATAAATACGCATTATGTTCGCCACAAGCAAGAAGGATGGGAAGAATCCACGAATTACACGGGAAGTAAATAGTTTACTATATTCGTGCTTTTGACAGCATTTCGTCGGTTTTTTTCACGTTTGAGCGCTCAAAGCGAAGAATGCGACTTAATCCGCAGCGAACATGCATGAGATCCTGACACAAATGAGATGAGCAGATGAAAGGACATCCTTTTTCCCGAACGGTAAAGAACGAATGGAGATAAACGGGGAAAATGCGATAATTACATGATAATTAACAGATATAGTAAGAAAATACTAATTCCACGCGAATACAATCGTATTAATGTGTAGTAAAACGAGGAATAGAAAGAATACGGAATACCGTAGAGATGAGAAAGAGAAATAAAATTGTGGAGAAATACCCTTTCCCCGACGGAGGGTAGATAGAGATAAAGATGAAGAAAATGTGATAATTGCGCGTTAATTAATAAGTACTTCAGGAAGGCACTGATTACATGCAAACGATAGTGACTTTTAAACGATTAAAGCGGGAATAGGAGGCGAGGAGATAAAAAGCCGGGCAGCAGAAAAAATGTAAGAAAAGAGTTGATATTTTTTCATGATAAAAAAAAGAAGAATGAAAAAATTAAATTTACTCGTAATTACGTCGTGATTAATAAATTACGGTACAAACGTAGATAATGATATAATTTTCACGTCGTACGTTCGCGATTAACGACGATAATCACAGAGGACAGTCACAAAGGACAGAAAAATTGCGACAAAAATTGCGAGAATGAAAAGAATATTACTTCTTTCCAGTTGTAATCCAAAAAATAAGTGGACTATGGAATATAGAAGAATCTGCAAAGAACGCGGCAATTAATGAATGTAAACGGAGACGTACGATGCGAAAATGCGAATGCCGAAGTGGACGGATGTGGAGAAGCGGCGAGCAATAAGGGCAGGAAGCAACGCGAAGGGTGGACAAACAAAAGTATCGGAGGATTATAAAACTGTCCGCATATGACCGCCAACGGTGCATCCTTTTGATAGCTTTTGTCCGGGACACAACCGGGTGCTGC